TATACCAAATGATATTCAAGTTTTCTGGAAGCCAGCGGAGGCAGAAAGTGGCTTCTGACGGTTCTATTATCCAACGGTAGCCGTCTTCATCGTTATCGAAAGTAATTGAAGTATATGTACGAAATATTTCTCTACGAAGGTGTATGTAGCATTCACCGTTTGAGAGTATGAGAGACTTGTCCTGACCGAAACAATATTGTATAAATAGATTCATGCAATTGCATTTCTTCCTCGGCAGAAATCCACTGTAATCATCTACCAGTTTTTTTCACAGACCTGTTTCAACATGGTATGCAAAGAATCCCGTACACAATCAATTCTTGCATGGGGGCAAACAAATGAACGAGTGTTGGGAGCATTACAATTGTTAACACCAGTTCCATATACTTTTGCATACACCATGCCATCGACATTTAGTGTATTATCATATTGGGATGGATGTTGGACATCAAGGACATCATTGTCTTTAAATACATAGACCACCTCTATATCCAGATCTGATACATCGCCATTTTGAACATTTCTGATCTTATCGCCATAGATGAGCTGGAGTTTAATGCGATCGATGACCGGATTATGGTTCAGAGTATGGCTTCTGATCTGTCTTATCTGACCCCTTTTAAGAGACTTACGGACGGGCGTGTAGTACAAAACCATCACGTAAGTTTATTTTTTTTTGGTATAGGGATAATATGTGTTTATTATGTTACATGCATAAATGTGAAATTGAGATAAATACGTAGACTAGATTATATACTAAAAAGTTCATGATATGTACGCGGATATATGATTATAAACATAGCGGAAGTGAACCATTTGCCTGTATGGGCATATGTGTGAATATGGAAGATAGGGATAATATTATTTATTTCAAAGGAGTTAAGTTACAAGGAAGATAGTGTACAAATAAAAGATAAATAATTGCCTTTTGGGGGAATTTTTATTTCTAAAAAAGGATAAATTTATGCGTCACCACGCAAAAATTGTGGCACAGGAATTTTGACAATTGACCTGTGAGAGTCTAGGAAGAAATTATGATACATATTTGACAATAATATTCGATACCTTATGGTAGAAACTATGTATTCTACTAAAATTATGCGTGTATGTGTAGTTGATTGTATGTAGCGAACGAAAATGGTTTGTAATGAAGTACTGGTTTTTCATACCGTATTATCATGATGGTGCCAAAAAGTAGTAGTGGGTTGAATGTAAATGAGAGAGAGTATAGTAACAGTATATGAATGTAGATATGACGCATCGAATAGAGTATGCATACAAACGAGAGTGTGAATGAGCGAGAGTATAGTAACAATATATGAATGCCGATAGGACGCATCGGATAGAGTATGATTTTTATGCAGGGAAGAAGTATTGTGCGTTATGCAAAAGTAAGAGTATTGTGTATTTCCAGGCCTATTCTGAAGATTGATAATGATTGATTTGGTTCAGGTGTTATCTGACCTTGGAGTTTATGAAAAATCGAAGTCGAAGCAGGTCAATATGGGAAGGCATTGACATACACCTCGCCCCCTTGCAGAGTTCGCCTTGTGACAGAAGTACGATTGGGCTCGAAATACCTATGGGATAAACATTTAGGAACTAAAATATGAATGCTGTGAATTGTTTCAGTATATGCTTGGCACCTGCTTCATTGGTTCTGTTGATGCAATGTAACATTGTTCTGTGAACTGCTTGATGTTTACACGGAGGAAGTTGTTTTAAATCTTCTATTAGAACTATGCTTATACCACTAAATCGATCGGCATCATTGTTATAAATTTCTTGAACTCGTCTCTTGACATAATATAATAGTTGAGCACATACAATGAGACTTCATGTATTACTAGTACACGTTACCGGCCAAGTTTGTGTTTTAGACGTAATCTCAAATTAGTTTCTAAATATATTTTTCTTATCATGAGCTGAAAATGGGGGTAGTGTGTATTCTGTTTGCATATCGTTTTATTCATGATTATGACTGCGTATTGTACATGGAGGGAGTTTCCAAGTTGGACTATTTTCAGTCCTTGCTGCTGA